GAGAGGAGGAGACCTCTGTGGATAACTGGGCTCCCAGTAGAAACCTCCTGACCCATGAACACTGAAGGAATCCTAACTGAGAGAAGCTGACTGCAATGACGGCAATGCCCAGTGTACCTGCTCTAAGTGGTTTAGTTTCTGTCACCCACCTTGAAGACAACACCACAGATGGTAGTTCCTGTTTTCCGGGCGGCAGGCAGACTGCATCCCACTTTGTTAGCTTCACCTTCCAAAAGTGCATTTCTGAAAATAATAGTAATAATTACAAAAATTTATAATTTAAAAGGCACTTGCATAACTAAGACCAAATCCCACTGAATAGCCCTAGGGCTGCTAATGATTATTTTCCATATGGATTAATTTGTCGATCATTTTCTGGATTCATCAATTAGTTATTAAACCATCTGGGTTCACTAAGAGAATTATCTTAAGTTAATGTATTTGTTTAGTGGAATTTCAGCATGTGTAAATATAGCTTCTCAAATAATACATTCTCTGGTTTCTTCAGTCCTCTCAAAACTGAGGAAAATGACTCAGAAAGATTAAATGATTATCAAAATAGATTAATTAAAGGGCCCAGTTAAAAGTTGAAATATTGAAATGTTTCCACACTGATAAATCTGGTGATGAAATCCTGTGACTCCGCGCTATTTATAGCAGTCACAATAAGTCAAATAGTGGATTAGTTGTCAAACTAACTTCTAACTATTTTGATAATGGATTAACAGTTTTTAAGTCATTTAAAAAAAATAAATAATTTTCTCTGCTTTCAGCTTCTCCAATGTGAATATGTTCTGCCTTCTTTTGTCCTCTATGACAGTAAACTGAATGTCTTTGGGTTGTGGACAAAACAAGACATTTGAGGACGTCATCTTGGGCTTTGGGAAACACAGATCAACATTTTTCTGACATTTTATGGACCAAACTAGTCGATTCATGAAGAAAATGATCAACAGAGTAATCAATAATAAACACAATCTTTAGTTACAGCCCTACTTACGTGTACAACATTACTAACTAATTAGTAAATAATCCATTACAGTTACAGGGAAAAAAGACGTAAATTAGTCAGATTATAGTTACACATAGTAAAAATGGGGATTATTTAGCAGATAACAATTTTAAAGTAACGTTACATCCGTTTTTTTTTATATACCAACCGAGTTAACGTTACACCTGAACGGTGGGCTATAGGCTGTACAGGCAGTGGGCGAAGAAATGTTCCGCCCGGTTGTTGTTTAATGCGTAAAAATATAGATTTAAGAAATATACTTATGTTCTTTGTCGATGCAAAAAGGTCATACCTGTTTTAAATCAATCAAACCGGTATTATGTTTAAAGGTAGCCTGAAGACAAGTCAACCGTAACGTTGATAGCGGCGTGGAGAAATGCCTGAGTCATTGCATAGTAGCCGAGTGAACATGAGCTAGCATCATGAGGATAACTTCTGGAAACACGGCTATTCGACACACCGTCTACTTACGAAATGTGAAAACGGATTAAACTCAGCGGTGTGGTTCTTTCAATTTGTTTTTCAGCCGCTGAGGAGCGCTTACCTCTTGCAGTTTTCGAAACTGAAACCCCCGAACGGCGGCCGGCTCACTGTCAATGTCGCCATCTTGTTGAATGAAGGTTTGTGTTTCCGGGAAGTAAAGGAAGCGGCTGGAAGGGGTGCTGAATTTGTTGACCCCTTGTAAAGTCGTATGTTGTGGTTTTCATAGCTAAAGAAATGACTTGAGAGACCCATTAAACAAGAGATTGATGTTTGTTTTTTGTGTAATATTTTTAAATGTATAAAAAATATTGCACCTTATACTAGAAACAACACTTACTAAAACATACGTTTGTAATGTAACATTGTAATCAAAGGCCACATGGAGGACTTTAATCTTGTAACACAAGAAGAGCACTCATCTTCCATTTTCACTGTAAATAAAAATGAATAAAAACCCCATTATCCATGAATTGTTAAAAAACAAAGTAAAACAATTTAATAATTAATTTTGTATTTTTTGTAAAGATATTATCACAAATGTAATCAAGTAGTCTTTGACGATGTGACTATAATCTAATTTCCAGTGGTAAATGGTAAATGGACCTGTATAGCGCCTTTCTAGTCTTCCGACCACTCAAAGCGCTTTTACACTACATGCCACATTCACCCTTTCACACACATTCACACAGCGATGGCAAAGCCCATCG